TCTTGTTTCTGTTTTACTCACTTGGCTCTAGAACAACTACCTTGAATTCACCGTCATAACGTTCTCTGCAAGATACAGCGTAACACTTAATCAACACACAGCCATAACCATTGACAAATGCTAAATGACTAGCACGATAATTTACTTTTTGTCAATCACACCACTTCTGCAGTAGTGTGGCTGTTAGAGAATTTCCAGCACCTACCTGAGTTCAACTCCCTTACAAGGCTAGACATTGCATTGGTGACTGAATCAGCTGCTACCAGGAGATCATTTCTTAAGCTGCGAGAGGCCAAACTATCATCATCATCTGGAGAATTGTCTGGAGTGCAGCTTGAACCTGCACTTGAGAAAACTGAAAATACATACAGCTATGAAGTATAAACTTTACATTATGATATGTATGCATGAATGTACATGATTTATATGTGTGTGTGTGTGTGTGTGTGTGTGTGTGTGTGTGTGTGTGTGTGTGTGTGTGTGTGTGTGTGTGTGTGTGTGTGTGTGTGTGTGTGTGTGTGTGTGTGCGTGTGTGCGTGTGTGCGTGTGTGCGTGTGTGCGTGTGTGCGTGTGTGCGTCTGTGCGTGTGTGCGTGTGTGTGTGTGTGTGTGTGTGCGTGCGTGCGTGCGTGTGTGCGCGCGTGCGTGTGTGTGTGTGTGTGTGTGTGTGTGTGCGTATGCATATATATATATATATATATATATATATATATATATATATATATATATATATATATATATATATATATATATATATATATAGTCATAACGACAATAACAATACTAATGATGATATTTATTGATTTTCAGTTAATCCAAAGGGAAAACTTTAGCAATCAGAAGCCAGAATCTATAACAAACAAACTCTATTTGAGTATTTGTAAAGAGAATCAGAATAAAGAGATCAAAAGTCACAATGAAAGACAAAAAATTGGAAGTGAAAAGACACACTTTGCATATAGTATTAGAGTATGCCTGGAAGCCAATGAAGCATAGTCAAGCAAATAGCAAATTTGATGCAGTGGAGCAGAAAGTAAACCAGTTGAAATTTTCTACAGATTTAGTATATGGATGTGATTCCTTAATCAGCCACAAGAACAGGGAAGTCTTGCTATTCACAGCAAAAATGCTGACTTAACATGACCAACAGCCCCTAAGAAGGAATGGGAGTAGAGACCAGGGTATTTGAGCTTCAACAGTTAACAATGAGCATGGGTAAAAAGAACCTGTGATGGAATATTCAGACAAATTTAAATAGATCCCTACAGTGATTGGGTTATTATTATTTATGTCATTAAGAGAGTAGGTTAATAAACACTGTAAAGAATGTAGAGTTTTGTACATCTTAGTCATATAGCCTTGGGAATCCAAGGTATACTGACTTCCCACACTGGTAGCAATAAACAGTGGCCAATGGAGATACTGAATTATATCAAAATACATAATAAAACTTCCAATAAAAAGACCTTTAGGTATACATGAGAGACTATGAGCTCTCATCTGTGTCACCTGGATCTCAGTGACACTAGCATAATGTACCCATACCACCTAAACCACTGAGTTGGTCAAATCATGGGCTTGCTATACATGAGCAGCAATTTGTAAGGTTGCACACAGCTAGTTTTGTGATTTCAGTCAATTTTTGCTGTACACCTTTCCCAGTGGCTTCACTTGCATAAGCATTAAAAAATCGGATAACTTTGGCAGGCAATATCCCTGCAAGAGGGTGCACAGCACATGACTCTTCTTCTCCTCACTGTTTAGTGAGCCTTGACGAACATAGTCAAAGCAATACAAAGTGTTATGCACCTTCAAAAATATCTAATTAATCTTGATAGTCATAAGAGTTCCATCTTTTACTAAAAAAGTCCTTTATGATTAACAGTGTAGAACCCACAATCTGCAACTCCACATGCTTCCCAGGTTGTGTCACACCAGGTCCAGCAGTATTGTCTTCACTCTCTCACCAGCAGATGCTTCTCGCAACTCACTGCCGAGACCTGACTGTTTACACGGACACCTCATGGCTCTCTGATTAGACCACAAGCTTCCCTCATTCCATGTTCTCTTACACAGCCCCCATGTACTTAAACTCCAGGATCTGTAACCAAGATCACCAACTTACAATCTTCCTGCTGCACAACAGCAAACAGCAGCAACACAAGGACTGCCCAGTTCTTTGCCAACTGGGGAGCCTCTCTGGCTCCCCATAGACCTCCAGTTCAGCAATAACATCCAGCCACAGCAGTGGGCATTCACATCCACTTCAGTCACTCCTCAAAGAAATAAGACACCAGTCATGTAGTAGATACATCCCATCTAATACAACAGATCTAGGGGCACTTAAACCACTGGTCAAATAATGGTCTCATTGTGACTGTGCTGCCATTTCAGAGGTTTCATAGATCTAGTTGGGGATTTCAGTCAATGTTTGCTAGACATCCATGTTCCTACATTTTTCTTCACAAAAGAATGAAAAACTATATGTTTTTAGACAATTTTGGAATGTTATACATCAACATGAAGACACATGGCACACTACTCTTCCTTACCTAGTGAGCCTTGGCAGAAACATAAATTAAATAACAAACCATCAACCTCCCATTGCCACCCACTTCCTAAAGACTAAGAGCAAAAACACTGCAAAGAAACATTACTTTCTACATTCAAATGAATCAAACCCTTTCAGTCTGCCCTTCAGAGTTACTGCATCTTATATCCTGTACAAAGATATTAAAAAAGTCATCATCATCAATATCATTATCACCATCATTACCATTATCATTGCTACTGTCATTAATATCAGAATCACTACCAATAATTTGAATAATATCATTTCATTATCAACATAATCATCATTATCATAACTACTAACTTAAGTTAGGGAAATAGAAGTGGAAAAGGAGGAAGTGAAATTAATGGAGGAGATGAAAACAGAGGAGTATGAAGTAAAAAGGAGAAGGAGGAAGGGAGGGGGAGGGGGGGGGGGGAGGAGGAGGAGGAGGAGGAGGAGGAGGAGGAGGAGGAGGAGGAGGAGGAGGAGGAGGAGGAGGAGGAGGAGGAGGAGGAGGAGGAAGTGGAGAAGGAGGAGGTGGAGAAGGAGGAGGTGGAGAAGGAGGAGGTGGAGGAGGAGGAGGAGGAGGAGGAGGAGGTGGAGGAGGAGGTGGAGGAGGAGGTGGAGGAGGAGGAGGAGGAGGAGGAGGAGGAGGAGGAGGAGGAGGAGGAGGAGGAGGAGGAGGAGGAGGAGGAGGAGGAGGAGGAGGAGGAGGAGGAGGAAGAGAAGGAGGTGGAGGAAGAGGAGGAGAAGGAGGAGGAAAAATATGAAAGGAAGAATATGAGGAAGGAAGGAAATGGGAGAGGAAGAGGAATAATAGAGAGAATATATAAATAAAATATACAACTAATTCTCCATCCCACTCTCAGAAGCAGGTATCTCACCTGAAGACACAGCCGACTGAAGTCCATCCACATGTAATGAGGAAAGGGAGTCAAGTGTGGAAACCTGCGGCGTGTGTGAGGGTGTGGGGGGTGCTGAGCGGGAGGAAGACGTGGACCCCTGAGTGCCCCCAGGCAGGTGAGTCATAATGCTGCCACTACCCACTGTTCCCCCCGAGGAGAGAGGAGGAGACTTGGGGGAGCCATTGGGGGTAGTGGGTGAGGTCTGGCGGTTCTGCAGAGTAAAGACATGGAGCACAATTCATGACTTCTGAATGACGGTCAGGGAGATGGTACTGATGTGAGAAACCATCTCAGAGTATACTGAAGGATCAAAGCAATATGATCAGATGCTAAATATATTGCAAAATATATAGTTTTTTTTCTGAATTTATCATATTCCATTTACTCTAATTCATCTGAAACAGTTATGACACCTGCAGACCTGTGTATATTCTTGAAGCTCTTCCCTTGCTAACTCTACCAAATGCTTTTTCCCATGGTTGCTACACAGCCCATTACACTAACGTGTCTGCCTTTCCAAGTGTAAAGACAAAATTATTTTTTTCATGTCATTCAATTTCCTCTAAATATTTCCTAGACACATGACTGAATGAGCCATTTCTCAATAAACCATTACAGTTGCATACTTTGAGCATCTTCATAAGCCCCTCAAGTTGCTGCATCAACTGCTTGCGTGAATCTTGCAGATAAGACAAGTTAGACTCCAGCTCATGCCGATGAGACCGCAAAGCACGAAGCTCTGCCACCAATGTAGGGTTACTGCTGCCCTCAGCTCTTTCCTGCTGCTGCCTGCAAACATACACTCTGTTCCTGAAACCCAACTTTATTTGTAAACATATGCTGTTTTTTATCATTAATCATCCTTAGAAGTTATAGACCATATGAAAATAAAAGGCTGACTTTAGAATAAACATATATTTCATTTATGCTTTACTTTAAATTAACACCATGATGACAGCTTTTACTCATGCTAAACCAAGCCATGTGCCAGGCAGCTGTCAGCCACATGAGTGAAAAATTAGAAGCATGGGACATAAATATTTACCTCACCGTCTATACTTTTGGCTACTGCAAATATGATTTTCCAATAGAAGACACTAAAATGAGATTTTAAGCCTACTTTGGAAGTTGTACTTTTTCAAGTGATCAAAGAGATAGCCAAACAAGCAAACAACTATTTAGCAAACATAACATAGAGCAGAATTGACCATGTGGCAAGGATACTTGCCACCTGGCATATGGGCTCGGTGCTTCATGACAAGAAAAGATGCCTCTCAACATGGACAGGTTAATAGTCATATCAGCAAAATACAAAAATATTGGAAATAACTGATTTAATCTTAAAAATTACACTTTTCCATTGAAGGCCATGTCATGCAGATTTTTCTGTCAAATACTTCAAAAAAATATTATGGGTATTCATTGTCTAACTACATTAAATATTTACAGAGCTTAGTCTTATGCCAAGTGAAATATCAAAGCAGTGAATCTACTCACTGTTTAAATCATATACTCTACAGCAAACAAAAAAGAAAAAAAATACAAATCATATCAATATGTATCTAGAATCATCTTCCAACCCGAGTTTGCATTGCATTCAAATCAATATAAAATACATCAATTTATATATAATTAGTAAACCAATACACATGAATAAAATTGCTTAAAATGTTCAAAATATTCTTCATTCTAACATTCTTAGCATTCATGGTGCCAAACATGAAACAATATGAAATTACCTTAGAATATTAATTTCCTTCATAATTTCCCTATTCTTTGCTTCCAGGGACAAGATCAGATCTCGCTGAGCAGAAGACGCATCAAAGCCAGGACTTGAGTCCACACTTTCACTTCCCTGAAATAAAAAAAAGTGACTTCACACACACATTTTTGAGGATTTAGTAGGCAGAAAGTATAATCTGCCATTCTATTCAAATGGTACAATGTAATTAATGACTTTTACAAATGACTTTTACCAAGAATAAGAATGATGCTTAATACAATTCACCATCATTTTTGGACATATTGCAGCTTCTTGAGTATTAAATTTCTTTTTGAGAAGCAGGAATATTAAATATCTGAAAAAATGAAAAACGTGAAATCTGAGGCAAAATAACAACTAAGTTGTTTCTATTTCTCGAGATCATATTTCTTTTTCTTTAATATTAAGAGCTAAATCAAGAGATTTACCTTTTCTTTGTAAAGTTAGTGATCAATATTTTTCTTCTACATTACTGTACAATATAAACCTTTGCAGGGAATTATTAAAACTCTTAAGATTTATGAGGAAATAAAATCTCAGAAAGAAATTCATGAGAAAATAATGTCTTCTGAAGATATCTTATTGACATTTTTGGTTAAAAGCTTTGTAAAGGATATGCTTAGCTGGAACCTACATAACAAAAGGATAACAAAAAGGATAGAATGGAACAAAAAGAAAGAAGTACAAAAAAGAATATTCTTTCTCAAAGCCTCCATTACTAAGTATACTAAAAATTACATTTTAAAGGGCCAAAGAAATCCACCTCCCCCCCAAAAAAAATAGTTCAACCAAAAGAACCTTAAAGTAAGCCAAATCAAATCTAAAGACATACGGTTGAGACTACCACAGAGTCAGAGCTGACTTACAGAAAGGGAGGTCTGGTTAGCAAGACGAGCAGCATAGTGAGCAATAAGTCGATGCTCCTCATCCAACTGACTCCAGTCTGGCAAGCTGCTGACACAACTTGTAGGAAAGAAGCCTATGGTTAGTAGCTCTTAGCTGCAGTGTGAGTTTTAAATATTTTTTTTAAAGATGTTAATGTTATTTGACCTGTCATAAAGAAATATTAGTTAAAAGCTTTGCTCCTTCTCAAATTAAACTTGAAAACTAATAGGAAATCTTTTGTTAGTATATAATTAGTATCATTAACAGCGATAATCCTTCTATGATGCAATATTAGTAAAAAAAAAAAAAAAATCTACAACTGGTAATCTATCTACTCCCCAACTGAGATAAATCTACCTTCTACTGGAAGACCGACTTTCTAAGGAGGTAGGTATCGGTGCTGAGGCTCCCCCCTCAAAGCCATTGTGTGACGGAAGAGGTGAAGGGGGCCTGCAAATAAAAAAGACTTTGAAATGCAGATAAGGAACCTTTTCTTCTTTTTTGTCAGAGAAAGACTGACAGAGTAAACAGCCAGAAACCAATTGGAAAAAATGGTTATTGTATATGCATTTATGAATTTTGTTTTCTGCCTTTAGTAGAAAGACCATGTTACTGATTTAGACAGCTTTTTTTTTTGCTAGAGAAGAACAAGTTTAAACAGGTGTGATAAGTGGGACTAGTAACTGACTCCTTGGTGACAAATTGCTTGTGGAGCCAACTCTGTGTGAATATAATTAACTAAAATTGTAGTGATGATGCCATCCATGTCCAGTGGGTTAAGAGAACTTGGTCAAGTACTCATACATAATATTTATCCACAGTTTTCATTTAGGACAAGTCTATTCATCAGCTTTGAAATAAATTATATGAATTTCATTGACAAAAACATATCTAAGATTACTGACAACATGAAAATATAACTTACACAATATGAGAAAGATTTAGTGTCTTCTCTGGCATTTCTGGAAATCTCGGTCTGTCTACAGAAGGTCTGTCAGGAACACACTTCAGACTGCGCCGAAAAGAGTGCCGCGTTGGAGTCTGTAATATTTGACGTTATTTAAGATTGAATTACTTGTGTCATTCTCTGCTGTAACATTTGCATCCTTTGTATTTATTAGTCTATTACTTCCTTTTGATTTTTAAAAATTCTTCACTCGTCTACTGTTTACTGACAAAATATTTGTATCACCAATTAAAGTAATTTTTGAACAAACAGCTATACTCTATGAACTCTACAAATTCCCACAACCCTGTCCCTGAGAAGCAGTTTTGAGATAGTGATGTGCCTATATCATTGGTCATATCCCAAACACATTCTTTACAAAGTATCAATAACCAACTTGTGGCAAATTCTTTAGGTTCATGATTATCTTAAAATACCAAATGAACAAA